TATGTGTGTGTGTGTGTGTGTGTGTGTGTGTGTGTGTGTGTGTGTGTGTGTGTGTGTGTGTGTGTGTGTGTGTGTGTGTGTGTGTGTGTGTGTGTGTGTGTGTATGTGTAGGTGTGTATGTGTAGGTGTGTATGTGTAGGTGTGTATGTGTAGGTGTGTGTGTGTGTGTGTGTGTGTGTGTAAACAAAGACTCCATGAGCGAGCTGTGTGTGTTGACGGGTGTTATGTTCAGAGTTCAGACTTGCTAGGACTGACAGCACCTGCTAGGAGTTTTAACATAGGTTTTAAAACAAGCCAATCAGAGTATCACTCTTATTATGTCTGCATTACTACCACATGCTATCCTGAAAAGGTGATGATATAGTGTGAGCTCGTCAGTTTGGATAGAAATAGATATCACTGAAATGGTGTCGAGAACGGAAGCATCAGTTGGGTTAGATATGTGTTTGCTCAGGATGGACTTCATTGAAATGCAGTCACCACGCCAGCTGTGGTCGGGCTCTACAAGAGTGGGTTAGAGGCGTAACCAAATCACATCGGAAACCCGGGCAAAATGTAGAAGCCTATCCTCCAGACGTCCCCCCCCCCCAAACAGACACACACTAGAGACACTAAGATACCTTAACATTCAAATTAATTTATCTCGATATAACGAGGCCTTGATTTAAAAATTTGTTTTTGAAATGTTGAAAATTGTATGGCCACTATATATATAGCCTATTTAACCACTGCTTCTAAGCATGATAATATGCGACTAATTGGTTAGTTGCTGCCAAGTTCAGTCCCGCGCTCACAGTCACCACAACCACATCACAATTTTTAGCAACAGAATCGTCGGATTGTGTGTTGACAACCATTGCTATACAACCTCCAGAACGTGTTCACAACCTTCACTATACCTCAATAAATTTAACAATACAACAATAGCAGAATGCAATTATATAAGTGTCTTCATTAAGCTAATTATCACATGAAGCTCACTAGAGATAATGCAGCTCCAGTCTGAGAATAATTATAATCAAACAGTGCTTTATTGAGGGTGACAGCACGCAACTGTAGTGAGCCTGGTCTCTGTCTGGCTGTCTGTCTCTGTCTCTCTCTCTCTCTCTCTCTCTCTCTCTCTCTCTCTCTCTCTCTCTCTCTCTCTCTCTCTCTCTCTCTCTCTCTCTCTCTCTCTCTCTCTCTCTCTCTCTCTCTCTCTCTCTCTCTCTCTCTCTCTGTCTCTCTCTCTCTCATTTCTTAAAAAGGAAATACACTTAATACTTCCCTGAGACCACACTCGTGAAATATTTACTTGGCGGATTTAAAAATGTTCATAGTCTTTCATTTGAAGGAGTGCACTAACTCTCCCTCTCACCATTTGTTATGGCGGATTTATGGCTGCCTCTTTGTGTGTGTGTGAGAGAGAAAGAGAGATGGAGATATAAAGAGAGAGAAAGAAAGAGAGAGAGGGAGGGAGGGGGGGGAAAGAGACCTGAAACCGAGACAATGCACACCTTCCTCTACCAACTAACACAACAACTTTGTTCCCGGGAATTCAGGTCAAATGAACCACCTGTGGTCCACCCTGGGCCTGGACCACAGTCTAAACAAACAAACAAGAACACATGTGATCACACCCAGACAAACAAACAAACTCCCTGATGAACAAACAAGCGCTCAAAAGTAATTTTTTACCAAATGCAAAACGTCATCCAGTTAGCAATCACACAGACACGGTGATGACAGCTTTGACAGCATGACAAATGGATTTGACTGCGGTGCGGTTGGAACATGGACTCATTAACTTCTATCCCACACGCTGGTGAGTAACTGCCACTGAGAGAGAAACAAAAACAGAGATAGAGAGAGAGGCAAAGACAAAGAGAGATACAACGACACAGAGGAATAATAATACTCTGGCCAGATGAGGAATACATCTGGCAGTCTCCGTGGTGTAGTGGTAAGACACTCGCCTGGCGTTCCGCGAGCGCTATGTCATGGGTTCGTATCCTGGCCGGGGAGGATTTACTGGGCGCAATTCCTTAACTGTAGCCTCTGTTTAACGCAACAGTAAAATGTGTACTTGGATGAAAAAACGATTCTTCGCGGCAGGGGATCGTATTCCAGGGACCATAGGATTAAGGACTTGCCCGAAACGCTACGCGTACTAGTGGCTGTACATGAATGTATGTATGTAACTCACCTTAATTTCACTCAGGTCTGCCTCAGGTTGTCCGTTGTTTTCAGGAGTGAAGTTGTGTTGGAGGGGTGAGGCCCGGCGTGTGGCTGGCCTCCTCACCCTGGGCGGCGTGTGGCTGGCCTCCTCACCCTGGGCGGCGTGTGGCTGGCCTCCTCACCCTGGGCGGCGTGTGGCTGGCCTCCTCACCCTGGGCGGCGTGTGGCTGGCCTCCTCACCCTGGGCGGCGTGTGGCTGGCCTCCTCACCCTGGGCGGCGTGTGGCTGGCCTCCTCACCCTGGGCGGCGTGTGGCTGGCCTCCTCACCCTGGGCGGCGTGTGGCTGGCCTCCTCACCCTGGGCGGCGTGTGGCTGGCCTCCTCACCCTGGGCGGCGTGTGGCTGGCCTCCTCACCCTGGGCGGCGTGTGGCTGGCCTCCTCACCCTGGCCGGTGTGTGGCTAGCCTCCTCACCCTGGCCGGCGTGTGGCTGGCCGCCTCACCCTGGCGACTGAGGCTCTGGGCTGCTCTTGTAGTATCCACCTCCCCCATACTCACCTTTCCTTACATTATTATTCCTTGTTATTTGTTTATTCATCTTCATTCATCTCTTTCTGACATTTGTATGTTTATTTACTGAGGTCACGTAGGCGGAGAGAGAGAGAGATATAGGGTGTAAAATACAATGTCCTGAATACGTCTTTATTGTGAGTCAGAAAGTAGCATCCAGACTTGGCAATATATTTCACGTTAACATTCATGGCAAAACTCAGAGATAATATATTTTAGCACACACGTATTATCCTATAACCTGTAATTTTACGTATACTCTTAATTGCATGTTAATGTATGCATTAAATACTGCAATTTCACAACATTTGTTGACAAGGAGCCTCGTCACTGGGAGATCTACTTAGCTTAAGCATTCACTGTGTGGTGAATTCACAGGCGTTAACAGGATCTTAAGAGTCATACCAAAATAATTAGCTTTACTATGTGGAGCTTTCAAACCTTCTGTTGTAACGTAAACTGTGGCCGAAAAGACAGTATCGGGCTTCAAAATTTCATAGACAAGTTAAGGAAAATTTCAGAATAATGTTCGCTTCACAAGTCGAAGGGTCTTTAATAGGCATTCATCAGTCTCAGGAGACTATGGTGTTGCGCTCTGGTTGTCGGTTTGGAGTGGCCTCTCCACTCCAAACCGTAGGAGGTTGATACGGGGGGGAAGCTGTTACCCATGCAGCAAGGCCCCTTTATCAACTAGACAAACCAGACTCAGCCTCGAAAAAGCGAGCCAAGTACGGCCATCTGAGGTGTTGGATTGTGTATGGGCTTTCCCCATGCAGGCTCGTGGCCACAGTGAAGTGGGGATTGTTTAGTACACAAAAAACAATTAAGGAAGTAAGAGTCACGTCTCTACGTGGAATGATTTATTTGTTAGGAGCTGAGATTGAGGAGGACTGAGGTATTTAGAGACTGACAAGGAAGAGTCGTGGTGTCGTTGCTGTTTCTCAATAGCGGATCCACTGTTGTCAGCCCCAAATGAACATTGTTCATTGGTTATACAAATGTGTTAAAAGGACTGGAAGAGTGAGATAACTTCGGGAATACACAGAAGACCTTCTATAAGCCGTCAGCGTTGGTAGATACCTCTGGATGGTTCGACATATTAGGCAGCTTGTACAGGAACTTGTAGTGTCGTTGATACAAAAACAAAAAAAGGAAACTGAAGAACTTAGTTGATTTTATTCCGTTTTGTAAGTACACGAAACGTAAGGTAACAAACCCCTTGGAATCCAGCTCAAGGTTGGACATTACAAGTGGCCCTTCATGTGTCCAGGTACTGTACTAAGCTCCCACAATACGGGACGTTCATGAGAGCACAGCTGTCATACTCGACACTGGCATAGTCACTTGTCATGAAGGTGTCGAGTCTAGGAACTTGCAGGACTCTACCAGACTTGAATGTGTCCAGCCACCCAGACGGATAAGAACATAATTTCCCCCAATAAACATAACAGTGATGGGTATAGACATCCCACAGCAAAGATGAGTGTCTTGTGTGTTGGTGAACACGGTTAATGAAAAGCCAGGGAGTTATCTGGCTGAATCAGGACTCCTTGTTATCCCTCGCTGCCTGTGGCTGATAGCACCGTTAACACTGATCGCTTTTAGCTGTAGCTAAGATGGCTTTGTGAACCTGAACAAAATGTTCCCAGTAACTTGGCCACATCACACCAAGCCACATCCCTGATGCGCCGATGTAAACATTACAAGGAAATTTACGTTTAGTCAACAAACTAAAGCAGAGGTTTTATACAGTTTTCAGCCACTTTGTTTTGTTGTATATAATGTGAACTCTGACACATACACACACACACACATGAGAGCCGCCGTCATTAAACACACAGATATTATAATTAAAACATTTAAAATACTAACTATAATCACATGTAAAAGTGCCATTATGGTATTTGGTAATCACTGACTTAAAATAAAATGAGAAGCATTACAAAAATAAACATACGCTGTATATGACTAGAATACAGAGTTACAAACATTGCTTCATACCTAACAACACCTTGTTGGATGAAGACAACCCACGCTGTACTCTTTGTACCCATGTTGTGTCCCGGTGCTCAACTACACCACGCCCTAACTACCCATCATCATAACCTTAACTACCCCCTCCCCCCTCCTGTCATCCTAACCATAACCCCCTCCCCCCCTCAGGCACTCATGCCTGGCACCGGCTCCATGTTATCACTGGTCTTTGGCACCAGGCTCATACCAATACGTACATAAAGCTGTGTATAATGGGTGTATATAGACATACTGCCAGGCGTCACCATACTGCCAGGCGCCTCGTCAATGCGCTAATTTGGCTTCCAGGTGTCCAAATACCGGAGATGGAGCTTGGGACACCGGAGGCGGAGGTTGGGACACCGGAGGCGGAGCTTGTGGCACCGGAGGAGGAGCTTGGGGACACCGGAGGCGGAGCTTGTGGCACCGAAGGAGGAGCTTGGGACACCGGAGGCGGAGGTTGGGACACCGGAGGCAGAGCTTGTGGCACCGGAGGAGGAGCTTGGGACACCGGAGGAGCCTGTGGCACCGGAGGCGGAGCTTGGGACACCGGAGGAGGAGCTTGGGACATCGGAGGCGGAGCTTGGGACACCGGAGGAGGAGCTTGGGACATCGGAGGCGGAGCTTGGGACATCGGAGGCGGAGCTTGTGGCACCGGAGGCGGAGCTTGTGGCACCGGAGGAGGAGCTTGGGACATCGGAGGCGGAGCTTGGGACACCGGAGGCGGAGCCTGGGACATCGGAGGCGGAGCTTGGGACATCGGAGGCGGAGCTTGTGGCACCGGAGGCGGAGCTTGTGGCACCGGAGGAGGAGCTTGGGACACCGGAGGCGGAGCTTGTGGCACCGGAGGATGAGCTTGGGACATCGGAGGCGGAGCTTGTGGCACCGGAGGCGGAGCTTGTGGCACCGGAGGAGGAGCTTGGGACACCGGAGGCGGAGCTTGTGGCACCGGAGGATGAGCTTGGGACATCGGAGGCGGAGCTTGTGGCACCGGAGGCGGAGCTTGTGGCACCGGAGGAGGAGCTTGGGACATCGGAGGCGGAGCTTGGGACACCGGAGGCGGAGCCTGGGACACCGAAGAACCTCGATAGTTCTTTCTACTACCCGTCCTCTCGCCTGACATCATATTTTCTTACGGAATCTACGAAACCGCTAAAAATACGACCTATTAACAAAAAAAAAAAAAAAAACGTAATATTAACGTTGTCTGTGGAGCAGCCTCGATAGATTACTAGGGTTCGTAGTTTGTGGTTGGATAAAGTAGTTGTACTCTGTAAGGTTGGCAGACAGATGGGAGCCAGCGTGGACGCCCCAGAGCCCACAACCTCAACACACCCGCGCCCTGCATGAGGCTACCACTCACCCCAAGCTATATATGCTGTGGTCACACCAAGAGATTCTAACTATACTCCAATATATTTATAGATTCTAAACCTTATTTGTTACATTGCACAGAAAATACTGGGAAAAATACGGCATACTGTATTATTATACATCAATTGTTCCCCGCGCTGACCACGACACAATCATCATTGTACACTAAACCAAACTTCGACTTCCATTAGATTGGCAGTAACGTGCCTTTACAATGATAATTACATAATTATTACGTGCCTTTACAATTAATATATTATATAATATATTAAATATATATTTAATATATTATATAATTTCACGCATTATCAATATTTAATCTTAAGGTATAGTTTGTGATAAACTTGATAAATGCATCCTTAGAATACTCAAGTACTTAATCCTTGACTTCCATTCCTTGTATTCCTGGGATTTCAATAATTCTTGTGGGCAGGAAAGAGATAATCATAGTTATCAGTTCCTCCGAGAACACCAGAGAACTCTGAGGGTCTCGAGGCAATCTACGTCCCTTAAGATGCACTAGAGTCAGAGTCCATTTGTGAGCGTTCTCAAAATGGAGAGAGCACTTAGACCCTTGCGTCCCTTGCCTTGGTGTATGGGGGAGGGGGAAGGGAAGGGTAGGTAATGGAGTCTGGTAAGGTGCAGTCCTTGACTGATGTCTGTGAGGGAGGAATATCTGAGGCAGACTGTAGGTTGCCGCTGACGGAGAGGCCCTGCATCTTGGGGACTGACGAGGGTTCCTGCATGAAGTCGTCCGTCAGGTAGTGGTGAAGCGAGAGAGTCTGCGTACTCTGCGTCCGGTACTGCGGCCAAGCAGGCTGTTCACTCCTGCAGCTCCACGAGTTGCTCCTCAGCACGCCGTTTCCCACGTCGTTACCTGCAGGAGAGAGAGAGAGATCTGATCAGCCGTCACCTCCGACTCTCTCCAGCAGTCGCAGAGAAATTTCCCCTAATAGTTCCCTTCCAGCAGACTAATACGTCAGGTGAAGACAGCACACCACAAGTGCTGATAGTCTCTGACTGGTGGTGAAATCTGCCTATAGGAAGAAAATACAAACCCCTTCTCAGAGTGTTTTTGTTTCTGTATTTGTTCCTTTTTATCAGTAAACACAGAGGAGAGGCAGAGTTAAGGTGTAGCTGAGAAGAATGCTGGTAGGGAATAGTATAGTACATTATTTACATGTAAATATAAACATTAAACTCATCTCTGAATTGAAAACATATTTACACACGTTCCCTCTCTTATGTTGCAGTACACATGGGAGCAACGGGGACACAGCTCTCGCTGGTGTTGTCTCGTCTGTGCAACACTGTAAATATTGTGCTTGTGGGAGAGCGTGTGGTGTGGTACTGTCTTGCCTCTCACCATAATACTCACTATATATTACACTGCCTTTTTAATAAAGATGTATATATATATATATAGGCATTCATCAGTGTCAGGAGACTACGGAGTTGCGCTCTGGTTGTCATTCTGGAGTGGCCTCTCCAGGGCGCAAAGCTAGGGTAGATTGATACGGGAGGAAAGCTGTTACCCATGCAGCAAAGCCCCCCTCCCCCACTCTCCACGGCGCCGAAAGTCTCCAATGGAAAGGGCAAACGCCAATACAATTGGTTCCAACGCCGTCGCAATTAGTAATTGTTAAAATAAGTCATATTGTCAGAATGCCTTACCTTGGATGGCTAGGAATGGTGACGCAGCGTGATCCTGCGTGGTTGGGGAGGACGCAACGCGATGCACCGGCCGTGAGATAACCTGCAGGACTCCCTTAGTGTCTCCGTTCTCCAGGATGTCGTAGCCATGATTGGTGTCCCGCGAGGTCCCCGGGGCCTCCCTGCCGCCGCCACCCGCCACCCTATACTGCTCGCTGGTGAAGAGTGGGATAGGGATGACCACGGAGAGACTCTTGGCCAGGGAATGTTGCAGCGTGGTGGCCTTCCGTCCGTGCAGGGGGATGTCAGGGCTCAAGGAGTGTCTCCCGGGGCTCTCGATGAGGGGGACCTCCACTCCTGAGAAGGACCCGGTGCCAGAGTCGCTGTAGTAGGACCGCTGGAGGGATGGGACTCTGGTGGTCTTGGTGGGGTGGAGTCTGGAGGTACCTTCTTCCTCCACCTGCTCACCACTCCCTGCAGGAACGTGAGTTAATGATGACCTCATGCGGCGGGGATTTATATATTGTTGAGAGAGAGAGAGAGAGAGAGAGAGAGAGAGAGAGAGAGAGAGAGAGAGAGAGAGAGAGAGAGAGAGAGAGAGAGAGAGAGAGAGAGAGAGAGAGAGAGAGAGTAGAGAGAGAGAGTAGAGAGAGATAGTAGAGAAAGAGAGTAGAGAAAGAGAGTAGAGAGAGAGAGTAGAGAGAGAGTAATGGATAAAGAGTAAAGAATGTAGAGTAAATTAGTTTATTTTCTGCAACAGACATGAGACTTCAGTTAAAATGTCAGCCAACATATACACTTCCGTGAACTCTTCATGATAAGATCAAGAGAGCTGTCCCAATACATAGCGTATTATTGACCAATCAGCATCAGCAGGGGACTGTTTCAGTGATTCAAGTTACATCACATATACTACAAAATATACACAGAAAATCGTGTGTAGAAAGAGAGGGGGAGACTTACCTTTCCTGAGTGATGGCTGGTCATCCCTGGGGGGACTATGGTTGCGGGAGAGCTTACGGGCCTGGAGGAAGGAGGCGAAGTTGAAGGATGCAGAGTTCCTCTCCCCAAACCTCTTGGACCACCCGCGGCCCACTAGGGCCAGACGACAGCACTTCCACACGCGTGACCTGAAGACCTGCGAGAGAGAGAGAGGGTGAGTCAGGGAGGCCCAGTGTTCTCAACACATGAAGAGAAACATTTAAATGTATTGACTTGAAATATATGCTCTAAATACATGCAATGGGGAGGCACTGGAAGCTATATTTGTTGTTATTCCCCCTTCTTCACTCCCTCATTACTCCTCTTCTTTTTTCATATCCCCTCATCCTTCTTCTTCACTGTAACCCAACCAATGCCCCAAACCACCAGAATGGGAGCGGGCTAAAACGGAATAAAGTCTAAACATCCAGTACACCAATGCTGATGGACTGTCAAGTAAAGCAGATGAACCTAAGGACAGGATTGATGTAATAGCAATAGTGGAGACTAAAATACCTGGAATGACCACTAATGCATTATTTAAAAGAAAAGATCAGGGAACACACAGGAATAAACTCGTGTAAAGGTTAGGAATGTTATTGCTTCTCAAAAGAAAGCAAACTTTTCAATTCATTAATTAAAAGGCAACAACTATGTCTTTTTATTAATGTAGTACAATGACTTCATCATTAGACTCATTTAAATGAAATAAAAGTGGTGTGGCCAAATTGTAAAACACACCAGAGAACCTCACCACATGACAAAGACAAGAATACAAATGTATGAGAAGTTGCTAGCAATGGAAGACATCATTCATGGTCTAACTGACTAGGGAATAATAAACTTGGGAGGAAGGAAGGTGGTGAGGAAAGACATGGAGAGCGAAGCTGACAGACTTCCCTAAAAACATATTCCCTCCTTAACACATGTCAAGGAGGAAGCCAGGGAAAGAGGAAGCAAGGTCAGACACACAGTCTTTGCACACACTGATGTGAAGATCGATAACAACCAATATTATAGTCTATCAACATGTAGTGCTGATAGAGAGGCAATACAGAGTTACGTCTGGCTAGCGAGCAATACAATCATAAAATAATCAGCTCACAAAAGTCCTTAAGAAAATGTTATGGAAAATGTCGGAAAACTCAAGATATAAAACCCACAAGACCGGAAACACAGAACAAAATGAAATAACGTGTATAACAGAGCGAAGAACGAGTAGATATATGTTCCTAATATACGTCAACGATCTGAGAGAAGAATTCGGCTCCTTCATATGAATACTTTCTGACGATATGAAACTAAAAATATAAATTCGAACAATAGGAACTATGACACACTGAAAAATACACCAGAAACTCCAGTCGAGATATAAATAATGGCTATTGGACTTTATCTCAGACAAATGCAAGGTTACAAGAATGGGAAGAGCACATGTATAGAGTCTCACACTCACCACTCGACAGATGATGTACACCCAAGGGTCAACGATCTGGTTGATGGAAGCCAAGCGAACGGCGATCAGCTCGTGGATGTGATCTTTTGTATTCAGGTGGGGCTTCCACAGCTGGTTGGACACGATGATAATCTGCAATGGTGGTAGTAGTAGTAGTAGTAGTAGTAGTAGTAGGTGAGGTGAGGCCTCCACAGCTGGTAGGATGGTCATACAGGATAATATTCAGCACTAGAGGGTAAGAGGCCCAGAGTGCGGTGAATAAGACTCCGTTGAGAAAAACAAAGACTTGGAAATATAGGCAATGTCGGACCTTTCATCAATACTAGATAAGCCAGGGCTGTTTCCTGTACATTGGTAGCATTAGTTAGGTGGGGTGTTTGGGTTCGTACCCTCCTCGTTAGTATGTTACGTTGGATTTTGTTCTTTTGTGGCAAATCAAGCAACGGATTTCGATAGTTAGAGTGGAGGGTAAGTGGGGGACTCTAAGAACACTTGTGCAAACAAAATAGTTACTACCCAAAGCTTGTATTGAAATCAAGTCCAATCTGATACACTACGCAGCCTTTCACTCACGTCCAAGGGACACACTAGCAAAGACAGGGACTCACGTCCAAGGGACACACTAGAGAAGACAGGGACTCACGTCCAAGGGAGACACTAGAGAAGACAGGGACTCGCGTCCAAGGGAGACACTAGAGAAGACAGGGACTCACGTCCAAGGGAGACACTAGAGAAGACAGGGACTCACGTCCAGGGGCGCCCACGACGTAACGAAGACGCAGGTGATCACCACCAACAGCACCACCATCTGCAGCTCGTGATCACTGTGCTTCCTGGAGCGGTGGGGCTGACACAGTCTGGCCGGCAGCTGGCGAGACAGCCTCATCCTCAGCAGTGTTCCTGCACAGGTCAGTATATACACCTCAGGTCAGTACACCTCAGGTCAGTACACTACACGTCAGTACACCACAACTCACCACCTCTCTCCCTTACAATATGCACGTCCATTATATTTACCCTCATACAACTTCAGGTGCTTAAATATCATTTTTCAAGTGAATTTATTTTCAGGTGAACAAATATATTCCAGGTAAACAAATATATTTTCAAGTGAACAAATATATTTTAAGGTGGAACAAATCTACTTGGAGTGTGTGTGTCATTATTTTCAGTTTGCGAGCCAGTAATACAAATCTTTATCCTAAAAAAAAAATATATTAAAACTAGGTTACAAAAATGTATCTATATAGTCATACTGGCTTAGCGTTTCTTCCTGTTAATTATCTTAAATTTTACAAATATTTACGTGTAAACAAGAGTATATTTACTGTCCACCACAGGGTGATATATCTCTGTGTATATATATATATATATATATATATATATATATATATATATATATATATATATATACACACCTCCGGCAGGAGGAAGGGAATTATTAGGGGGAAAGCGCCAAACCATTACGACTATATAGCACTTGGAAGGGGTCATGATAAGGATTTGGGATGGGACGGAGGGAAGGAATGGTGCCCAACCACTTGACCGGACCTCCTGCAGGAGTATAATATATATATACCCTTACCAACGACGACGACGTTGCAGGAGACAATGATGAGGAGGTTGGTGATGTTGATGACCCCGAGGGCGATGGTGTAGAGGCGGTGACGGAGGGGCGTGGAGTCCGGACACAGGTGAATGTTGGCGAAGCACCAGGTGCCTGGGTACTGCAGGTACAGCTCCCCCACGTCGAAGAGCGGCAGCAGACTGAACACCATGCACGACCCCCAGATGCAGATCATCAGATACCTGCGAGCGTCCGCCCGGGACATGGTCAGATAAGATGGTAAAAAATATGATGAAAATATAACGGATAAAAGATATTTTAGTCTCGTTCAGGGTTACAAGAGATCTAGAAAATGTATTTGTTTTTGTTTGTCCTGCTTTGTTTCCTCTTCAACTACCTCTTCCTGCTTGTGGTGGTGATGGTGGTTGTGGCGGTGGTGGTGGTGGTTGTGGTTGTGGTGGTGGTGGTGGTTGTGGTGGTTGTGGTGGTGGTTGTGGTGGTGGTTGCTGTTGTTAGGGTTAGCCACAGTGTTAATTTCCCGCCGCAGCAACACTTACTCAAACACGCCCGGCGCCCCATTCACTAAATTGACCAATCAAACGCTGCCATCACGTCTCTACCCCTTGCTCGCTCGCTTTCTCTCTCTCACCCTTACATGTCTACCCCCTACTTCCCCCATTTTGTCATTATGTCCAGAGAGTGTGAAGAGAGAAGCTGAGAATGTGACGGGTAGGAGGAGACAGACTGCCCAGTGGACACAATATCCAAGAGAGGCGTCGGTTCGACGCTAAATCAACGTCAACAACACCAATTCAACGTTGATGACGTCGATTTGGCATCGAACCGTCGCCGCTCTTGGATATTGTGTCCACTGGGTGATAAAAGAAAGGGTGAGAGGAGAAAAATAATTGTATGGTTGAGAGAGGGTGTGGTAGCACACGGCGTAGGGTTTCATCGTTAACAAGGTCACCCTATCTTGCAACACTGGTCGTGTTGCAAGGTAAGTTGCACTACCTATACAAGAGTGTAAGTGCCCTGGTTAAGGATGCTTGTCCACAGCCTGGACACACACCTGACCCCTACACGTGACCTTCGTCTGTTGGTTCCGGATCTACCACTTTCCGGGACATGAATATTCATACGATAATGTCCATTGGAGTACGACGACAGGTATCCCTAGGGTACAGTAGCTCCTGCCTGGAGTAAGATAACTTCCAACCGGTGGGCACAATATCCAAGAGTGGCTTTGGCTCAACTTAGAATCAACTTTAATTCAACTTTGATGACGTTAATTCGGTGGCGAATTGGCGTTGGTCTTGTATATTATGCCTCCTGGGCAGTGGAGTACGATAACTATCCATGGAGTACGAGGGACAATGGTAATACGGAGGTGAAGTAAGTAGTCTGTGCCCATTAGTTATATTTGGCACATGTTGGTATGACTGTATATCCGGTCCTCTCTTCGTTAACTTCGTTATTTTATAAAACGGGGTTTTTGTAAGTTTACGAAGCTCTATATTTACCCACGTGCATTCCTGCGAGAAACAACTCATTCCACTCTTGTGTTGTTTGACAATACATGAAACATTCAAAACGAACAAAACATTGAAAAATCCCTGTTTAACATATTCAAAATTGTCGAGGTTTGAGCGATATGTTAAATACCGTTCAAAGAAGTGCACATATTAAATTGTAATTAATCTAATAATTTAAAGAATGATTATCATTCTCATGATTAACATAATTAACACCTTTGGAGGAGCCAATTATCTCCCCAGACAGGTTTAAGTGTACGTATATGCTAGGCTGAGACATGCCGTGGCGTGCCTCGTCGAGTCATTATAAGGCCAGACAACCATTAGGAGAAGCGTGTAGTTAGTGTATAATTGGGCAATTGGCTCTGGGGTAATGGAGTGGTGTTCTACCTTCCTGCCATCTCCCTGGGCTTCTATTGCCCCATAAAGTCCTCAGTACCTTCATGCATGAACTTTAACATCAATTAAATCTTGGTGTATATAAACAGAGAGATGTACCAATCTTTTCGGCGTATATACACTGAAAGTATATTCTAATTCTGGACTATGTTTTTGGCAAAATTATACTTGCTGGTTGGTCAGTAATCTATGTTGGTAGCCTCGTGAAATTGATAGGCTTTAAGCCCAACACAAATCCAAGCCTAAATCTGGATAAAATGGGATTAATTAACTGCTAGGATGAAAACTGGATTATAATAATTCCAACAATCATTGGGTAGATGTTTATGTTAAATGAATCACTTGGAAACAGCTTATATAACGTCGTTTTCCCCCCTGTAATATATGCAATATAATTCCTAGAGCTACCCCAGTGAGCCATAAAGGGTGATAGAAAACGGAGAGACACGCAGCATGAGGGTGAGGTGCTGGAGGAATACATATCCTCATGATATGTATTCCCTATGTAGGGATATGTATAAATACATATCCCTACACACGGATACCGTCTGTATCCTGCTCTGACTGAACCTTATCATTGTTTCATTTACTTAATCTTCTCATTGTTTCAGTCTCCCCTTCTCAAAATCGTAAAATACAATTATATACAGTAATTTATAATAATAATTCATTATGTAGAGAGGGACAAGAAGCCAGAGTGTATTCATACACGGTAGACTTATATACCAAGGTATATAAGTCTTCCCCCCAAGGCCAAATTACTGACCCCGCCCAGGATGCCAACCCCCCAACAAGCTGACTAACCCCTGAGTACCTACGCACTGCTAGGTGAACAGACACATTAGGTGAAAGGAAATGTGCCCAACCATTTCCGTCCCGCCCGGAATTTCGAACCCAGAATTCTTGATTGTGCGTCGAGAACGAACCCGACTGTACTACCAGAACACCTGATGCCTCTGTTCACCTAGCAATACAGTGGCACCCGGGAGCCAGACAACCGTTGTTGTGTCACTGGCCCAACTGGACCTCGATAACCTAAAAAAAGGAGACCATTATCAACACCGTAGAAAGGATAAGTTAGTTAAGAAACACGGTATGATAATAAACCTACTGAGCGGCCTATTTGAAGCTGTCCGCGCCACTCAGCCAGGTTAAGCATTAAAGGGTGTGGCCAGCAACAGGATGGTGAGCAACAGGTACAGTGTTCTTGGTTAGCTTACCCTAAGTGTTTAAAGAAAACTAAAGATCATGCGAGGACTAACCATAATTATTTGCAAACGTCTTTACATCTTAAGAATCATGTTAGTGCTTTCTCAAAAGTAATTAAAGGACACACCGAAGCGCCCCATAGATTGTACCAAACAGAGCGCCCCATAGATTGTACCAAACAGAGCGCCCCATAGATTGTACCAAACAGAGCGCCCCATAGATTGTACCCAACAGAGCGCCCCATAGATTGTACCAACACAGCGCCCCATAGATTGTTCCAAGACAGCGCCCCAAAGATTGTACCAACACAGCGCCCCAAAGATTGTACCAACACAGCGCCCCAAAGATTGTACCAACACAGCGCCCCAAAGATTGTACCAACACAGCGCCCCAAAGATTGTACCAACACAGCGCCCCAAAGATTGTGCCAACACAGCGCCCCAAAGATTGTACCAACAGAGCGCCCCATAGATTGTACCAACACAGCGCCCCATAGATTGTACCAACACAGCGCCCCATAGATTGTTCCAAGACAGCGCCCCAAAGATTGTGCCAACACAGCGCCCCAAAGATTGTACCAACAGAGCGCCCCATAGATTGTACCAACACAGCGCCCCATAGATTGTACCAACACAGCGCCCCAAAGATTGTACCAACACAGCGCCCCAAAGATTGTACCAACACAGCGCCCCAAAGATTGTACCAACACAGCGCCCCAAAGATTGTACCAACACAGCGCCCCAAAGATTGTACCTACACAGCACCCCAAAGATTGTACCAACACAGCGCCCCAAAGATTGTACCAACAGAGCGCCCCATAGATTGTACCAACACAGCGCCCCATAGATTGTACCAACACAGAGCCCCAGGGAAGATATACAAAGCGCTTCACTGGCCAGAATACAACATAATCGCAACAGTTAGATTAGATAAGAGTTAATTACTCAGATGATTCTTGAATTGCTGGCGATAACGGCTTGGCGCGGCTGTTAAGGTCCGCATTCCTGCCACGCCGGCAACACTGGCATGCAACTGTGCAAGCAGAATGAGGTAGGTGGAACATGAGGGCCAGGGGGGGTGTGTGAGAGGTGTGTGACGGGTGTGTGACGGGTGTGTGAGAGGTGTGTGTGAGAGGTGCTGCTCCAAATCAACACAGATCTGGAGCACAACAAACCTTACCAATATGTAAACAAGGTCAGAGTATAGAAACTGCATAGAGTCCAAAACAAACCTGAACTACAACCAAACCTCCCTGACCAAAACAGAGTACTTGAGTCTAGGCAACTAACACCATACACAACAGTGTGTAAGGCATGACCAGCTACACACACACACACACCTCCACATCCTATACAGAACTCTATACAACTCTAAAATTAAAGATTTGTCCCTAAGAGACCCTGAAATCCCGCTATAAATAGTCGTCAACACCAGCATTGACTGCAGCCTCCAGGCACCCACACACAGAGCAAGATGGATTACCTTACAAGACGTTACGACACGCCCCAAAGATGCTAGTAACCACGCCTCGTTAGTGACCACGCGAGAGACGACAAAGAATGGGATCCACGACTCTAAGATAACCCGTAGAGGAAAATAAAATAACAAAATAATAATTGAAAATGTAAATAAAACTGATAAACCTACAGAAGGCCAGCAACACTAGGGAAGAAGAACAAGAGGTGCCTGGAGTGCCAGAGCCAGGCACTGTACTGCCCCAAGCCTACCCTCCAAACCACTGCGATAACACACCACCCAACTAGCTAACCACCACACACCATAACACCGTCACAAACATACACAGCACCACTGCCACCTTCTCTGCTACACTAGTTCACTGTGTTCAACATGAACTCATGCATTATACATGGATACATGCGCTTGTGATTATCCACATGTTGGCTCTGTATATCTCACTGCACACTTGTGTTATGTATCTCGCTCACGTGTCCCATGGCGGCCCGGTCTCCACTTTTGCTAAACGACTAAAAGTTTAGACATTTCAACTGGTTTTCCCTTCACCCAGACCTTTCGCGGGCACACACACACACACACACACACACACACACACACACACACACACACACACACACACACAC